CCGTTACAATCTGCTGGACAGCAGTTTGCAGGGCCTGCTGGATCAATTGTTGGAGTGGAGCTGTTTGTTCAGCCATAATGCTATCCTTCATTTTCTGCATTTCTACCTGCATCATAGTTGCGAATTCGTTCCTTAAAGAAGTAGCCATTTCGTTCAACGCCTCTCGTGTGCAATAGTCGGATCGTGCCGTAGTTGACGACATGTCAGGGTGAAGCTAAAACGAGAACACTGCGCGTTTTTCCGCGTAATTAAGTTTTCTATCGCATATACGCAGCGAACAAGCTATTATGTGAGTAGGTATAGTATGGTCCCTGTTACGTTTTCGATTGAGACCAAGTGAACATTTCTCAACAGTGATTGCCTTGCCTTCGCATATTCCACTTTAAAACCTACTTCATTGCTATCCAAAGTCATCGTGCAACTGTCAACCAATATTAAGGTTGCGAAAAAGTCCGCCTGAAAAAATCAAGCACGCGATATCTTGTTGCTAACATGCATCATAACTTACAAAACATTACTTATTGCGTATCGCAAGCATGCTTGGATGCGTTCAGTATAGGGTGAAAAACGCAAAAAGAAGCTATCAGTGCGTCAGGGCCGCTTGACATATAGAGCTAAACATAAAGATTATTCCTATAAGCATGCAGTCACAACCATCGACAGTAATGAAATGAAATGACAGTAATGGTTTGCTTACTTTGCTCCGCAAAGTAAGCAAACCCGAAATGTGGTTATGAATGCAGAAAACAAGATGCGTATGGCTCTCATTCCTCGTTGTGAGCGGAGCTGTTCTTGACTGGTGTAGCGCACATCGCTCTGACAAGGACTACACCATCTACGTTTAACAGAAATCGACGATTGATGATACGTGGGGTTTAACGTCCCAAAAGCACCATATGATTATGAGAGACGCTGCAGTGGAGGGCTCCGGAAATTTGGACCACCTGGGGTTCTTTAACGTGCACCCAAATCTGAGCACACGGGCCCACAACATTTCCGCCACCGTCGGAAATGCAGCCGCCGCAGCCGGGATTCGATACATGGGACCTGAAAGTCAACAGCAGAGTACCTTAGCCACTAGACCACCGCGGCGGGGCTGAGATCAACGACTAACGATGTCTTCTCAGATCGGGCGCATTATCGCAATGATGCGTTTTCGAAGACTAGTCCATTCAATGGTGCGACGAGAGGCCGTTGTTCGAAATGGCCATTGTACCTGTTGTTTACTGTATTTTACTGAATGTGATTACTTTACCTTACTCCCTTCACAACCATACAAAAGGGTACGAGGGGGGGGGGGGGAGTCTGATGATTTTGATATACATGTACACAAGTTCGAGCCCCTCTGTGTCCTTGGTACTAGGTTTTTTTTTTTCCTTCTAATTTCTGCGACAGTGGACTACGGACACCGGTGGCGGCGGACAACTACGGCGCCGCGCGTGATCCGAGTTTTGATCTGATTGATTGATATGTGGGTTTTAACGCCCCAAAACCACCATATGAGAGTTTTGATCCCATAACAGCTTTCGCTCTAGAAAGATGTGCTACTTGGCAGCTAAGTTGCAGTATGCAACAACATATGGTCACTATAGTGCCAAATGGTCAATTATGTATGATTAAGTTGGTCCTAACGGCGACTTGTCCGCCGTGCAAAACATTTTTATTTTATTTTTATATAGACCATTTTCTTAATTGTACTGCTCTTCTTAATTTGTACTGATCTTCCTCATAAAATAAACATGTTTTGTACCGCAGACAAGTCGCACTTAGGACCAACATAATCATATGTGATTGGCTATTTGGCACCAATGACCATATGTTGGTGCGTAACTGCAACTTAGCTACCAAACAGCACATATTTTGTTTTGTTTTCACTTCGATGGATCCTCTCCTTCATTGTGCTCTTTCTGCTTCTAAATGTAGCGGTGTGTTCGGTTGCGATTCCCGGTGCTGCTTTAGCATATTTATACTCAGGCTGCCAGTGGACGGCTGCATGTGGCTAAAGACTGTCTGGTAGGTCTCGCGTTTCTCGTTAACTAAGGAAAATATTAGCTTGTAAATAATTGAAATGAGCACGGACAAAGTTGATTACGTTGTCCATATGATCCCCCCGTCCGTGCAGCCTGTTGCGCTGACGCATTAATTGTTACGGCTATAAACTCGTAGGTCAAAACCCCGAGAGCGGTAGCACACAAATTCAAGAATATTTTTTCTTGCGTAAAACAAAAAAATGAATTTGATAAAACTTTTTGAGTGAGTAGCCAATGTAGGTTGGTACTAAATCTGCGATTGACCATATTTTTAGTAAGACCGCCTCAATGTTGAATTCATATGGCCGAACATGTGCAAAAATGAACATTTTTTGGAACTTTGTCGCCACCTGTAAACTTTATTCCGCTCTGTATACGTCGGAAATTGTTTTTGGTCTACAGTAAATATTCTGGAAATACGCTTATATTAATTATTACATTTCCCCTAATTTTGTCTTTTTATGCGAAAATCCCCATTATGGACCAGATTCTCCATATTCGAGGGTACATAAAAAAAACCACGAAAACGTAAAACCTCGTAAAACTTATTTTAAGTAAAACGCCTTCCGTTGTTCTAAAGGTAAAAGTGTGTGTTGACCTAATTCACAAAGAACAGATTTTTCGACAACGTGTTTCACAACCTATGGTTTCGAGCTTTCCGGAAAAATATAAATGAGGCTCGCGGTACTGCAATTTTTTTTTGCAAAAAATTTTTTTGGGAAAACGCTTTTGGCTTTAAATCTTTTTCAAGTAAATCGGAGATGGTCAAGCGCCAAGGTCGGGGCAGTTGTCGTAGAATGACCCATATGCAGGGTGCCCCAGCTATGTTTAGCCATAGTATAAAAATATTCTTACACACGCAATTACGACGACGCGACCAAATACATGTTGCTGACCGTTGCCTCGAGTTAGACAATTTTTTTTGTGTTCAAAAAAATCCCTTTATTACATCTGTTTAATTAACTTTTGAAGTAACGAAGATGGATAAAACATTTCAATTAGAAAGATGTAGATCGGTTCGCGAAACGTCAAATTAGACGGTTTCGAACTTTATATCTGTTAATTATCAGTGTTTTTATGATAAATACAAATGCCCGCGAAATACAAAAACATACCACGTGACAAACTCACCGGCGTTCCTACGTGCGCCGTGATTTTGGTGCGCTCTAACGTCCCGCGTACGAACTATACGATTCCTTTGCACCGGTTCATGAGAGCGATAAGCAGTCACAGCGGTTATCGTTTTTGTGGCCGATAGTAAGACGTGTTCATCGCAAAGACGCCACCATCGTTGCATCCCTGTCGAGACAGCTGAATCGGGCAAATGCCATGGTCGTTCGTACGCGGAACGTCAGGGAGCACTACAATCATCGTGCGCAGTGGCGCACGAGCGGGTTTGTAGCGTCGTATTTTTTTTGCAATTTGCGGGCATGTTAAGTTAGCAGAAAAGCCCTAATAATTACCGGATATAAAGTTTGAAACTGTGTAGTCGGACGTTTTGCAAACCGATCTACAACTTTCTCATTGAAATTTTTTTATCCATGTTCATTCTTTCAAAGGTTAATTAATTAAAGAAATGCAATGAAACAATTTTGAACACAAAAAATAGTCTGACAAACTCCAGGCAATGGTCAACAAAACGAATTTGGCATTTGGTCTCGTCGTAATTACGAGTCGGAATATTTTTAAACTCTGGCTAAAGATAGCTGGGGTACCCTATATATATATATATATATATATATATATATATATATATATATATATATATATATATATATATATATATATATATATATATATATATATATATATATATATATATATATATATATATATATATATATATATATATATATATATATGCAAATATTACATTTGCGTATGTGTGAAATTCCCGGATTTTCATTCAGGCAGCTATTCAACTTGTACAGCAAAAATAAAGATATTTGTAACTTTTATGGTATATTTCTATTGGTAGGGCATTTTATTCACAAACGTCGTTTATTCACGAACTTGTGAAGCAGTGCAATTTTACCTGGCATCCCCTTTATTGTAATGTTGGAATTCAACTCAAGCTTTGCGCTCGGCGAGCCCTGTACGCTACTTCCGAAGAGAGAATAAACCAACAGTATTGCGGTCGTACGGCCGTTCTTACTTACGTCTACCTTACGTCTTCTCGATGTGCTCTGTTCATAATTAGCGGTAGTCGAGGCGAACAAATTATCGAGCAAAGCAGTAGACATATGGTTAGAAAACCACTGGTAACCATGTGCACTCGCGCTCGCGTATAGTGTTGAGGGAAGTGGTCACTGCGCGTAAATATTTCGGCTGACTGCGCGTGCAATTTACCTTTATTTATTACTATTTATTCTTGCATGTGCTATGCGATTGCTGCATTAGCCGCGTGAAGAAGTTCTTTTTTTTTTTCGTTCCTTCCTTATGCCTGTTCATTTTGCGCGTTTTTACGCAAGCATTAATGTTCTCAAACTCTATCACTAGTGTTAGGCCATGCTGACGCCTCTTGACACATCAGTTCTTGCCTTCGTTTTTTTCCCCAGGTGCCAAACAACACTTAAACATTAGTGAGGCCCATCTCACACCGCATTATTAAAGATAAGTAAACTTTAACTGCCCTGTGTGGAAACCCAGTGCGAAAAACTGTAGCGCGTAGCAGACGCCCCTGAGTGCGGAAAGCGAGGGCGTCTGCTACAGGTCCGGCGCAGCAGCGGCGCGGCGCGGCAGTTCTCCGCAAAACGCCCACGCGAGAGCCGGCGCTCTGGACACTCCTTTCAGCGGGAAAAGTGAAAACGCAAAATGATGGTGAATGTTTAGCTGTTACTAGTACACTGTACTGTTACTGCTGTAACCGCTAACCGTTCGAACCTATCACATCACAGAGGAAGAAAACGTGACCAATCCAACTTCCTGTAGCAGGTCACGTGGCCCACGTCACCAATTGGTAACTGACGGCTGCTGACGAACGCGGCAAGCGCGAGTCACAGCGCAGGCGCAGCGTTACCATGGGTGACCTGCTGGCACTGCTGGTCACCTTCTGCTTAATCAGGCCTAGGACTTGCGGTAGGGAAATGACGCCACGTCACCACGCCTAAAGGTAAGCGGCCAAATGTGTCGGATCAACCGTTGTCGTGCTTGTGGTAACGTTTTCTTCTCGCGCTATAAATATCGTCATGTGGTAACGAGTTGTTAAACCCAACGTCACCAAACTGACGACAGCGAACGAGAACCGATGGTCCCGTTCAGCATGAGACTTTCAAGCATTTTAGCGCATTGACGCGTTTGGAACAGAGATGGCTCGCTCAATTCGAAGTGCTTTCTGAAATACCTGGTCGTACGTTGAGTTTATTTTTTCATTGGGCTTGGATGCATACAGTGCCGGCATTTTACCGTTCGTAGATATTGTGCCGCCTAGTACTTGCTGAAGTTGCGTGCAGCATATTGTCCCTGTGACTCTCGCTACTGTCCGTGCTTTGAATGCTCGTGGCATTGAGACCGCGTTTCGCTCGTGTCTTACTGCCAAAAGCGTACGTGACACGAGCGAGCGCGCCCGCTTCTGACACCAACGCGATTCTCTTTGAATAGGAAATTGCGGGTCTTTAACACACCGACTCAAAAGAAAAGTTTTACAGTTGCAGTGAGTATAGCGAACAATTTACTTATAGCAGTTGGAAAGCATGTTTGCTGGAGCGCTCTACGATTAATTATTTGGAGACGGTTTTATAATGCCCAGTCACAGTTTCGGAGGGCGCCGAGGGAGGCGAAACATGTATAGTGGTTTAAAAACGTAAATATAGTTGGCTACGTGAGCACACAAAACCGCATGCAGCCAACTCTTCAGCGGAGGCTTACCTTTGGCCTAGCAGTGTGTGACGTTGCACGAGCTCGTGCACAGCTTTTGATAAAATATTGTGGCGTAACAACAAGGGAAGTAAAGAGCATACAGGGAAGACAGGATAGAGCTCCCTATCCTGTGATCTCAGCTTTTCTTTTTCTCTTGTTCTCAATTGTGCCACAAATATCTGTTGAGCCCCCTTTCGGATGTTATATATGCATGACGCCCCCAAGAAATGTACTGCCGATGCAAGAACGCCGGTATTTGCGCTCCCTTGCAAGTACATAAAAGACTTCCGGACCTAGTACTGACAGTCTCCACCTCTAGATTATAAGCACAGTTTATATCCTTGGTGTGAAAATTTCCCCATCTCGAGGATGATTGAAGTTGCCATTTCAAAACTACATTGCACGTTCCCTCCTTCAATGTTATCTTCGTAATGTAAGGCTGGCAGCTGGCTCTTCAGGAGCCAAAACAAAAGCATCAGGTTGATTTTTCGAATTTTATTATTAAGCATGCATTCATGTGAGTGTATATTCGTGGCAATAAATGTGGCAGAACTGCTCCAAGAGCTATGCAATAGTGCCTTCTATTAATCATGCATTTAACTAGAATTTAGGAAGCAGCCAGTAATGGCAGCAGTGCTGTCTACATTTGATCCATACTGCAGCCATATGTTATGTCAATTGCACTGCTCAGTGCAAGGGCACTTTTGCAAGAGTCTGTGCAGAATACAGACGCAAAGGTGTGATATAATGAAACTTACAAAGTGTTTGTCCTGGATAAAATTCAAAGCTCAGTATAATTAACAAGGTATTAATGAAATCTCGGTTAGAAGGAAGTAAATGAAAATAGCTTGTAATAGTGCTTGGAATAACCTGTATAAGGAATTTTTGAATATAAAGAACTTGTATACATTTATTTGCGAGACGCAGCTTTGTTATAATGATGCGCGAGTGTAGTACTAAACAATCCCGAAGGCTTTGATCGAGCCAGACTTGTAGGTGCCAAAATATTTGTAATTGCAGTCACTCTTTTGCAAATCTCTTCATGGCTTGCGGCGTTTGTTTGCAGAGTTGGCAAGAAGTCCCCGAGTGGCTGCGAAATGAGGCCAAGCTCGGGGGCAGATCACTTCTTGAACCTGGTAACATTATTTAATTCATTTTTTGCAGTAATCAATTACACACAGCCACTTACTTTATTGACAAGAAGCTTCAAGTGCATAACTTTGATAGTAACTACTGTAAAACATGATAGGGGAAATATCCATTAGCATTCGTAGCTAAAAACTACTAGGAAATTCATGTTTAGTTCACCTGAAAGAAGAGGTGCTATGCTGGTAAAAAATTACTCATAGTTTTGGATTTGTACTTTGGCCTGGGAGCAAGATTTTGTCAAGCTTTCTTTTTTTTTTTTTTGAGTAATTAAGACCTTGTAGCTTTTAGCTGGAAATATGCAGATGGCCATGTTTCATCTCGTAACTCTTCCTCCGCTTTGTGCGATCAGCTTCGCGTTTGTGTATATTCAGCAAAGATGTACAGTGTTTTTTAATTTCAGTTGGGAAGCTTGCTGGGCAATTTCGTGAATAGTAATGGTAGCAACAGGACGAACATAAAGCACTGGACGAATTCTGGATGTGTACGACGGCACGAGCAGGGACTTAGCAAGTGTTTAATTCATTTTGTTAGTCGGCACTCGTGCTGTCTTATGTTGCCCTTCTTCGGCCAGTGCTTCATGTTCACATTGTAAATGTGAAATATATACCGAATGATGTGGATGGGGGGTAGCCGCCCTGGTAGCTCAGATTGTAGAGCATCGGACGTGTTATTTAAAGCTCGCAGGTTCGGTCCCTGCCCACGTTAAGTTATCTTTTCATCCACTTTTTTTCTTCACATTTCCATTACAATTGCCTCATATAACATGTTTGATACTTTTTTTTTACATGATTGTCGGTTAGGTCTCAATAATGATGGTTCTAAATAAGAGAAAGGAGCCCTTAAACGTAGACTTCTTTCATAAATTCATAGCGATGCTCTTGTTCTGGCAAACTTCATGCCTTTAGGTAGTATACGAGGAATTATTCGTCAGCTGCTAGGTTGTAATAAGGTAATCTGTTACGTCAGGCTAAACAGAAACAAAAAGAATGTTTCACACTTACTGTCGTGGCTAAAGGTGGCGCTGACCGACTATGCTATGTTTATTTCAGCCCCGCCCCAACGGTCTAGTGGCTAAGGTACTGGGCTGCTGACCCACAGGTCGTGGGATCGATGCCCAGCGGCAGTGGCTGCAGTTTCGATGGAGGCGACATTGCTGTAGTCTCGTGCGCCGACATTTGGGTGCACGTTAGAAGAACCCCAGGTGGTCGAAATATTTGGAGCCTTCCATCACAGGGTCTCTGATAACCATATGGTCGTTTTGAGACTTTCAACCCCACAAATCAATCAATCAATCACATTTAATTCACTGTATATACCCAGTAAAGTGGATGGGGGGATAGCCGCCGTGGTAGCTCAGTTTTTGTAGAGCGTCGGATGGATTATTTAAAAGTACATGTTCAGTAGCTGCCCATGGCAAGTTATCTTATCCAATTTTTTTTCTTCACATTTACATTACAATTACTTCATATAACATTCTCTATACTTTCCTTGAATTTCTAGACCCTACAGACTCTTGGCACCCTGCTCACACATATGGTAAGTCCGCGCAACACACCAATTGAAGTTTGGGGGGAGTCATGCCTTTTGTACGTAGTTTCTTACCTTTCATCACTTTCTCTAACTAAAAATAATTTGCTCGTTACCTTTTCTTCCACCATTTTACAATATTAGGCTAACCGTCGACGTAATTGCTTGTACGCATATCTGACTCCTGACTGAGGGCCACTGTGTACATCTCTATATTTTATTACGAGAGTGTTAATTACTGCTCGAAATGCCAAAAAAGTAGTATACAGCCCTAAAGGCAACGGCTGTCCATTCTTTAGCAGTTTGAAACCTTACAAGTTTAGTTTTCATGCACTCAAGCGACGTGTACGCTTCAAATTAACAATCTCGTAGAAGTAGTCGATTGGTTCGCAAAACAGGTGCGCACAACTCGCCAGTTCATAAGAAAAGTCAAAGCAGGAGTGCGACCACTCGGAATCGGCAAAACACCGACATTGTGGACACCTTGAACTCAACAATGTCGAATTTGTGCGAGACAGAAGAAGTTAGGAGAGAAAAATTACATTGGAAGAAGGTTCATCTAAGGCACTAAACCAGCCTAAGCTCGCAATTGAGGTCAGAGGTTTGAAAGCACGCATAGTGTTTTTTTTCTTTTTTTTCAATGAACTTTCAAATATTTGAGAAAAGACGAGCTGCACGTAAGGCGAGCTAAGTGTCAGGTGACGTTGAGTTCATAGGCAGTCAGGTGGTATTCCACAATGCTAAGAAAGTGCAACAGAACCCCCTACTTAGAAATAGCGCAGCAGCCATGGAATGACAAAATTCTGTTCGGAAGCGGATAGCGGACCATTCCCAATCGTATATTTAAAATGCGTCATAAAGGAATAGTATAAGAAAAAGATGTCTGGGGTGCGGCCTCACTGGCAACCACCTGCCAGTAATGCACTGCTTTACAAGAGCAGGATTGGCCACCCTGGTGCACTACTTGGTGACTACCTCCCATGACTACAGCAATTAACCTTTGGCCGCCAGTCACTAGCGGTTGCCAAGCAACTGCGCAAGGCGGATGTCTGAGCTGCGAAGCAGCGGAGGCTGCTCAAAATGTGTGGGTCCGGACAGGCCGCCATTACAATTTGAAGTTGGCTACCTTCAACGCTAGATTGGTATCTAGTGAGGCTAGTCTAGCTGTTCTGTTCAAGGAAATAGAGGGTGTTCAATGAGATGTAATGATTCAACGCTTCCATGAAGCCGTAGAGTCAGTCAATAATAAAGTCCCAGTACACTATTCTGATGGGCGACTTTAATGCCAAAGTAGGCAAGAAACAAGCCGGAGACCATGCAGTGGGAGAATATGGCACCCATGCCCCGTTTCTTTCAAGTAGATTCACCACAAAGAACTATGTTGATTCTGTACAGAACTGCAACGTTGAGCACCCGCGACTGCTACCCAAAAGGAACAAATGCTGATCAGGCCTAATGTACAGTTAGGCATGTTGTACCGGGAAGTTTGTAACAACATGAAGATCGGGTATCCAAAAGAACACACTCAAGCACTCTTCTAAAAGCAGTCCGCATAATGCAATGTCTAGATTGCTCCGATGCTTAGGCTACTGTTTCAGGACTTGGGAAACTGAGACTTGGGTGCAAGAAAACAAAAGCATCTGGTTGATTTCTCGAATTTTATTAATAAGCATGCATTCGTGCGAGTGTATATTCATGGCAATAAATGTGGCAGAACTGTTCCAGGAGCTATGCAATAGTGCCTTCAATTATTCATGCATTTAACTAGAATTTAGGAAGCAGCCAGTAATGGCAGCAGTGGTGTCTACATTTAATCCAAACTGACCCGTATGTTATGTCTATTGCACTGCTCAGTGTAATGGCACTTTTGCAAGAGTCTGTGCAGAATACAGACACAAAGATGGGATATAATGGAACTTACGAAGTGTCATTCCTGGGTAAAATTCAAAGCTCAATTTAATTAACAAGGAATTAACGAAATCTCAGTTGTAACGAAGTAAAGGAAAATAGCCTTATAATAGTAATGGGAATAAGCTGTGTAAGGAATTTTCGAATATAACGAACTTGTATACATTTTTTTGCGGGACGCAGCTTTGTTATAATGACGTTTGAGTGTAGTACTAAACAATCCCGAAGGGTTTGATCGAGCCAGACTTGTAGGTGCCAAAATCATTGTAATTGCAGTCACTCTTTTGCAAATCTCTTCATGGCTTGCGGTGTTTGTTTGCAGAGTCAGCAAGAAGTCCCTGAGTGGCTGCAAAATAAGGCCAAGCTCGGGGGCAGATTACTTCTTAGACCTGGTAACATTTTTAAATTCATTTTTTGGAGTAATCAATTACACACAGCCACTTACTTTATTGACAAGAAGCTTCAAGTGCTTAACTTTGATAGTAACTACTGTAAAACATGATAGGAGAAATAGCCATTAGCATTCATAGCTAAAAGCTACTAGGATATTCATGTTTAGATCATGTGAAAGAACAGGTGCTATGTTGTAAAAAATTACTCATAGTTTTGGATGTGTACTTTGGCCTAAGCCTAAAATTTTGTCAAGCTTTTCTTATTTATATTTTTTTAGTAATTCGGACCTAGTAGCTTTTAGCTGGAAATATGCAGATGGCCATGTTTCATCTCGCAACTCTTCCTCCGCTTTGTGCGATCAGCTTCTCGTTTGTGTATATTCAGCAAAGATGTACAGTGTTTTTTAAATTCAGTTGGGAAGCTTGCTGGGCAATTTCGTGAATAGTAATGGTAGCAACAGGACGAACATAAAGCACTGGACGAATTCTGGATGTGTACGACGGCACGAGCAGGGACTTAGCAAGTGTTTAATTCATTTTGTTAGTCGGCACTCGTGCTGTCTTATGTTGCCCTTCTTCGGCCAGTGCTTCATGTTCACATTGTAAATGTGAAATATATACCGAATGAAATGGATGGGGGGTAGCCACCGTTGTAGCTCAGATTGTAGGGCATCGGACGTGTTATTTAAAAGATGCAGGTTCTGTCCCTGCCCACGTTATCTTTTCATCCACTTTTTTTCTTCACATTTCCATTACAATTGCCTCATATAACATGTTTGATACTTTTTTTTACATGATTGTCAGTTAGGTCTCAATAATCATGGTTCTAAAAAAGAAAAAGGAGCCCTTAAGGGGGGACGCGGCCCTTGAAAACCGAAAAATCGCGAAAAAGTCGGTTTTTGAAAAACCACATTTTTGGGTTGTATGTCTCATAGACTACCTATTTTGTACTTATCAGCACCTAATTCAACCGCAAAGTGCAAAAAAATACTATTTTCGAGGCCGCCGCGGCGTCCAAAACAGGCGCAAATCCCGAAATCAAACCAAACTTCGCGCGCGCGCCATTCCCGGACCATGCGGTCGTCCCGCGCCATCTTGGTGTTGTTTTGACCGTGAATTCTTTCTCTCTCATTCGCCGCCTGGCAAATTGGCGTCGGCAGCACAGTTGAGACGCTATTGGCGTTTTCCCGCGATGCGATGCGGAGCGCTGATTGGCTAGAGCAGCGCGTTCATATCTCGCGGGAGAAAGCGTGCCCGCCATTGGCTGCTGTGCAGCAGCGGGGGCGGTCGCTCCTCTCGATGGCGCGTCCAGTGCGCTCGCTTCGTTGTTGCTCTCTGCTCCGTCCGCCTCAACAGACGTCTGCTTACGAGCCGCTCTTCCCCTTGTGCTATCTTTTAGATCATTTTCTCTTGTTTTTTTTTTTCTTTTTGCACTAGTTCTGTGCCTTTCGTCTTTGTTGTTGCGGGCGATGCCGGCAACGAAGCCGAAGTCAGTGCGGAAGTCACGTGCGCGGAGGCGCGCTATGCGGCTTGTACGATCATCGAAATTCTGCTATTCTGCTGCGGGTGCCGACTGCGTAGACGCTTGCAGCGACGGAACTGTGTTGTCGGCTGTCGCCAGTCGAGAATCCGACACATCGAGTGTGGCTGGAGCCGCAAATGCACCGAGTGTTTCCGAGATCGCCGGGCTCGACACGTGCTCCGAATCGATGCCATCCAGTGTGACACCGAGTGCTTCCGATATCGCCGGACCCAGCACTTCGTCTGAATCGGTGCCATGGAGCGTGACACTGAGTGCTTCTGATATCGCCGGACCCAGCACTTCGTCTGAATCGGTGCCGCCATTGGGCGTGAGTGGACCGTCGCTTTATCTGCGGACGCATTCCTAACGAAGGAAGAAATCGATGCGAATGCGAAACGTCGTGACGCCGTTCGCGCTGAACTCGAGTCTACGCCGGCGATGCAGAAGAAATTTCAACTGATGCAGCCGGCTCTTGCACGTGCAGTGACAAGTGAGGGCGAACATTTTTCGCTTGTTCAAATGAACATCTTTAACGTCGTGCTCAGCTGCACAGTGTGCAAAGAATGTTTGAAAGGTGCTATGACTGTCCGAGAGAGCACCAAGCTTGGACTTGCAACAAAACTTGAAGTCGTCTGCGCCTCTTGTGGCACCGTTGATAAATTATGGACATCACCCCGCAAAAAGGACACGCAGGCCTTCGATGTAAATGTCCGCACCATAATGGCTATAAAGCAAATAGGCAAGGGGCAAACAGCTCTTAATGACTTTTGGGCTGCCATGAACATCTCTTACAGAGGTCTTCACCTCAAGACGTTTCAAAAGCACTTGAAAGAGACGTTCAGGAAGCCAGAGGCCACCGCTTTGGAGACGTTTTATGCTGATTCTGCCACAGCAGTGATCAAAACATATAAAGAAATGGACCCCAGCTTCTGCAAGGACATCACCGTAGTGTACGATGGCACATGGCATAAAGCGGGGTCACACATCACACATCGGAGTGGGATCGGTAATTGACTTCTTTACAGGTCTCATCTTGGATGCTGCAGTTCTTTCAAACCACTGCCTTGGATGCCAAACAGGGCCCAAACCTGGAGATGCAGCATACGAAAGCTGGCAGAAGCACCACATTTGCCAGAAAAACACAGACGCAAAATCGGGAAGCATGGAAGTGGAGGCAGGCTTGACTCTCTTTGGGCGGTCTGTATCCAAGCATGGCCTGCGGTACACCACTCTTGTGTCTGACAGAGACAGCCGTACCTTCGCTGCCCTCACAGAAGAGAATGTGTACGGGCTAGTGCCAATTGTAAAAGAAGGATGTCTGAACCATGTTCAGAAAAGGATTGAAAGTGCTCTTCGAAACATTGTGCAGAAAAGTGATAAGCCACTGAGTGGGAAGGGGAAGCTGACTAAAGCCCTCATTGAAAAGCTGACAGGATATTATGGTTGGGCCCTGAGAAACAATTCAACTGACCTAACAGCCATGCAGCGTGCAGTGATGGCAACATATCCCCACGTCACATCGACTGACCAGGACCCTCACCATGAACTTTGCCCAGAGGGGGCTCAATCGTGGTGCCGCCATAGAGCTGCAGAGGCAAAGCGTGAGCCACAGCCAAAACATAAACACAGCCTACCGGACTATGTCGCTGCAGCTATGCTGCCCATCTACGAAAGACTGTCACAAAAGTCGCTTCTTCAGCGCTGCCTGGGAGCGAAGACCCAAAATGCATCAGAATCATTCCACTCCATTCTGTGGTCTCTGATGCCGAAGGAACAACACTCATCCTTGATCGCGGTAGAAACAGCACTGCATGAAGCAGTGCTGCGCAACAATGCCGGCTGCTGCAAAGCAACCCAAGTGATATCGGACTCCATTGGACTTTTAACCAGGTCATCTGGCCATCCAGCGAGCTCGTGAAAAAGACGCTTTTCGCCTAAAAAAGAATTCTAAAAGACACCAAGAGAAGATGGAGGCCAGGAAAAAGAAGAAAAGAGTGCGCCAGGACACTTCTAGCTACTGTGCTGGAGCTTTTTGAAGAAAACACGTGTTTTGAACTTTCTCGGCCTGTTTTCTCAGAATGGATTTTTTTGCTAGTTGTAGTGCTGAGGAAAGCAAGAACTCGAAAACCGTTCATCAGATTTGTGTGCCGTTTTTTTATTCTGTTCCTGAATGACCTTGCAAAGGCGTAACAAGCTCCTTTTTTTGAAAATTGGTGCTGTTAATTTATAATAAACAATTAATTTTTGATGAATCTGGTGATTACTGGTTACATCAAATTCAAAGTTGCGTGAAAATTTTTGGGGGGGGAAATTAAAAAAACGGCTTTGTAGCGCCCTGGGATAGCTATCAAGGAATGACCACAATGAATTTCAGCTTTCTACTATGTCCTGGGATTTCTCACGACTCTTCCTCAGGCACCCATGCGAAGCATCCAGTTAAACCTCAATAACTCTGGAACTAAGAAACACAGCTTCGTGAAACTTAGCAGTTGTGCTAGTTTTATTGTAGTGAACAACCCCTGAAAGTTTCATCCAGATATTTTAAAAAATAAAAAAGTTCGGTCTCCAGGGTAGCCTCCCCCCTTAAACATAGACTTCTTTCATAAATTCATAGTGATGCTCTCGTTCTGGCAAACTTCATGCCTTCAGGTGGTATACGAGGAATTATTGGTCAGCTGCTAGGTTGTCACTGTCCACCTGTGCTTTGAGGACATCATGAACGATCTAATCATCTAACTCTGCAGAGGCTTCCTGAGCAACATGGCGGCATTAAAGCCGGCTGCCTTTCTTGTGACAAATAGTATTGGATTTTTTTCGTTACCGTAGGTACCTTGTAGTTGTCGACTTTCTTTTATTGGTCTCAATAGTGCAGATGATGAACTGGGTGGTGTCGGAACCATTTCAGCAGATGGTGTGCTAGTATTGAGACTGTTTCATTATGACTAAGAAAAGTGTTGTAGGGCCTTCGAACCTGAGGCTTTGCTCCTTGGGCAGTATGCAATTGTTCACGCGGCTGGGCTAATTTGGCTGCTTTGTGTGCACGAAGTTGGCGATATTTGCAACTGTTCGTGATATAAAAACACAAACTTTCAGTCAGAAGTAACAAAGGCAGCAAGATATGTTTGGGCACGGACAAGCTAAATCTAGGAATTAAGGTAATGCAATGAAGCAGTTGCTTTAAAATAAATTGAAAGCAGTGGACCAACCAAAAAATAATTGATTTGAATTATGGAGAGTCTACTGTATTTTCAGGTATCTGCTATGGTATTCTAATGATTACGGTAGTCTGGTGGTTTGGGCATCTGCTACGGTGGTTAGTGGTCACAGGATTGAATCCCAGCCACAGCAGCCACATTTTCGGTGGAGTTGCTTGAAGCCTTTGTACTTACATTTAGGTGCACGTTAAAGGGGAACTATTGTGCATTTTCGACCATATTGAGATATAATGCCATTTTTTGATAGTATTAGCAGAACTGTAGCAGCTAGAGTGCTCTGTTTTGCCATGATACCCATGAATAATTTTAAATAAGCAATAAACGATGATTCAGAACTGAAACGGGGAGCTGCTCTATGCTAGGTATGCGCAGACATTGCAGACATCGCGTCGCCTCAGCTCGCCAGGGTGTCGACATAGCTCATGCGCCTTTTTTTTTCGCGTGAAAAGCAAGCTGGCGATGGCATACGACGTGGAACCGAATTGGGCCAGCTCATCTCGACTTGCCCGTGACAAGTCCAGCGATAATGAAACATCGCTGAACTTGTAGAAAATGAAACAATTTCAGACATCATGGCACTGCCGCCACCTTCCAAAACCGCAGTGAAACAATTTTTCTTGTGCTTTTATAGACCTATGTGAGATAGCAGCCACTTAACGTTGCACTAATTGTGACAGCTGATTTTTTAAGGAACCCCAGGAGATGATGTATTCGGGACCCTCCGCTATGCCGTCCCTCATTATCACATCATGCTTTTGGGACATCAGACCCCACCACTAATATTATTGTATATTTGTGCGCTGAAAAATGGTCACCAACGAAAAACATCATCAACATAAACAGACGAGTCTGCCGTTCAAAATGTGCAGGTGCCGCAGCAGCATCTGTGGATACCTTGGTGGATGACTTTCCATCTTCGGGAGAGTACATTTTGGGCCGCAACCCGCCCCCTGGTTACTTCAACTACAGCAGCACGCAGTCCCCCAATGAGAGTGACACGGCAGCTTCACAACTGGCGAGTGGTGGATTAGTTACAGTTACAAGTTACAGAACTTGTTACAGAGCTGCGTGTGCTAGAGTTCGTTAGAAGCTTAACACTATTACTGCCAATCCCAGCATACCTGTTCTGCCTCTTTGAATCATACACTGTAACTTGCGAAATAACTTGGAAAACATATGGGCCTGCCCCACTGTCTATGGAGAAAACCAGGGACGGGTTGAACTTGGTTGGGGTTCGAAGTGAATAGAGATTTGAGAGAATATTGAACCGAATAGTTCGAATGTATTCGAATGATGCTACAACGAAACTGATGGGGCATGAAAAAAATTTTGTTCAAGGAAAAATTTAGTAATGAAAT